TCTCGTATTATTAAGATGACTTGACATTATACAGGCTCTTTCTAAAGTGTTCCAGTATTTAATATACAGGGTGTTTCAAAAAACATTTACCATCATCACGTAAAAATAATATTTATTATTTATATTAGCATATGTCCGATTCTGCTATGTTTGGCCAAAGTGTTAAATAGGTACTCATTGATTCCTCGTCAAAAAATATGAAAAACAATTCCTATACGCATGGGTGTTGAAATGCATACCTAGTTTTAAAGTTATAGGATGTTAAAACTAAAATTGGTCTTTTGTAATTATCTTAAATACCATTATTTTTTATTAAAATTTGCTGTAAGTAGCGAACTCTGTTTTTTTTTTCTCAGCTAAGATTTCGACAGACGATGACAGAAGAAAAGCAGATGACGTTTCATACCAATCTATTTATTTTACTAAAGAAAGTTTCTAATATTTTTAAGTTAGCTATGGATGGGTTTAAATATAAATCCGTCATACGTTGTTTTCAACCAGTTTTATTGGTTTATTTCAAAAATAACAGATCATATTTCAATTTTATTGGTTTGACGGAACGATGAACGACAAACGGACGCCTATGCGTATGAACTCGCCTTTAGATTTTTGAGGCTTGTCAAAGTCTTGCCAAATTATAGGTTATAATTTTGTGTCAACTTATGTCAAATACCCTGCGTTTTAGACGTATTTTGATTCGTGTTATTAAGTGCGTTTTGTGTCTTTTGAAGTCAATTGGAGGAAAAATTGAGGGAAAATTAACTGTAAACCCAGAGCACAGTTTATAGTTAATACCCGCTGCCCAGGCAGAAAGTCTTATACACCAATAAAGTTACCATCAATAAAGTTTGTATACCATCTCGTCGTAGATAAGTGCATCTCGAATATGGTACGAGGATCGTACTAAACATATACTAAAAACTGGAGTAGCTGTAAAATATCGACATCACACGATAGGTAAATAATGGATTTTAGTACTGCAGAAAAATAATATCAAAAGGTACTGGTTTAAAAAAATTAAGATTAAAGTTAAGGTAAGTGTTACTTTTAATAAAATAGTTTGTTTTATTTATGTTGTTTAATTTATTCCTGTGGAATATTAGAAATTTGTATTTGTACATAAGTTTGTTCTTGTTTGTTTTGTATTAACCCATATCGTTTTTTTTTAAATAAAATAACTCGATTACATTTTTTCAGTTTTATATAGTTTTTTTTTTCAAAATATTTTGAAGTAATCACTTGTCAGTCAAATTTTAAATATATTAATTTCCTGCTATGCGGTCCAATTGTACCAACTTATTTCTTTGTAAAATAAAAAAAACTACCTTGAAATTAAAATGACAGACACATCTATCACTGTCAAGGATCTTGTCGTCGGACAGACTATAGATATTAATGTTAAAAATTTTAAAATAAAGTTGAATATTAAATTACATAAAATAAATAAATAATTTATTAATTTTATTATTGTGATTAATAAAATTGCGTTTATCTTATCAAAGAGAACGAAATCGACAAAATATTAAGATACAACTTTTAATCGACATTAAACGGTCTAAAGAATGTTGTTAACAAGAGAATTCAAAGTCAGTGGCGCACATGTTTTTTTTTAAGAAAAATATTCCACTAATAACTGATATATACTTTGACTTCGACATATACTTTTACCCTCAAAATTTCATTTGAATAGTTAAAGGAACTTTAATTTAGGAATTAAAGTTCGTTTAACTATTATTATATAGTATTTGTACATAAGTTTGTTCTTGTTTGTTTTGTATTAACCCATACCGTTTTTTTTAAATAAAATAACTCGATTACATTTTTTCAGTTTTATACATTTTTTTTTCAAAATATTTTGAAATAATCACTTGTCAGTCAAATTTTAAATATATTAATTTCCTGCTATGCGGTCCAATTGTACCAACTTATTTCTTTGTAAAATAAAATAAACTACCTTGAAATTAAAATGACAGACACATCTATCACTGTCAAGGATCTTGTCGTCGGACAGACTATAGATATTAATGTTAAAAATTTTAAAATAAAATTGAATATTAAATTATATATAAAATAAATAAATAATTTATTAATTTTATTATTGTGATTAATAAAATTGCGTTTATCTTATCAAAGAGAACGAAATCGACAAAATATTAAGATACAACTTTTAATCGACATTAAACGGTCTAAAGAATGTTGTTAACAAGAGAACTCAAAGTCAGTGGCGCACATGTTTTTTTTAAGAAAAACATTCCACTGATAACTGATATATACTTTGACTTCGACATATACTTTTACCCTCAAAATTTCATTTGAATAGTTAAAGGAACTTAGAAAAAAATTATAATAAATCGAAAAAAATTACTTTAAACTAGGAAACAAAGCAGAACCGGACCTATGTTGATATAAAAAATAAATCTTATTTTTACGTGAGGAATCTCCCCACGAGAAATGGCACATATTTTTTGAGACACCCTGTTTTTAAAAAAATGTTTTTAATTTTTTTTGGAATTTAAACTCATAGTTCAAGATCCCGGTGCCCTCTGTCAGTCCCCTATAATTTACGCTTAAATAAACTAATAAATAGATTAGATTACTTTAGAAACACCCTGTATATTCCGCAAAATGTCAAGAATCTAAATGCAAACAGGTAAAGCTAACCACCAGAGGCTTTTCTTAAAAAAATATATGAATATCTATATGAGTAACTTAAAAAAATATATATTAAAAATAAAGCTCAATATTAAAATAAAAAAGGAACCAATAGTAATGGTGGATAGTCTTTAGGAAAATTCTTTAGAATAATATGTTTATACAATTTTAAAAATCTCAGAAATAATAAATCACGTACAGGGTGGCTCGAATTCGACGATCATCATTGGGATTTCGGAAACCGTAAGAGATACAAGATCGGTTAAATGGAGGCAAAGTTGCGCAATTTGATGCTCAATAAAATGCCGTATTGCATTGTTTTTTATTTTTTTTTTGCATAAAATATTCTGGTGATGGAATTTTCTGTACGAAACGTCGGCAAATATCAAAGTGACTATATATAGTGTTTTAAGAGCGATGAAAGGATTTAATTAAATTGAAAAAAAATTAAGTTGATGATGGTCGCCAGAAGGCGAAACGTCAGAGTCAATATTTAATCACACAGAGTTATAGAGCAGAAAAAGTGGCCATGAAAATGTGTTTTTCATTTTAAGTTATCTTAACAAATAAAGCCAGGAAACAATAGAAAACAAAATTGAAAATTCCGTTTTTTTTCCGAAAATATTCGGAATTTTTCAAAACGCAATACGGCATTTTATTGAGCATCAAATTGCGCAACTTTGCCTCCATTTAACTCAAGTAATCTCTTACGGTCTCCGAAATCCCAATGATGAGCGTCGAATTTGAGCCACCCTGTACTTATTAGACAGTTATTCCAAATAATTTTCTCCAATTAACCACAACCGAAAATAAAAATAAAAAAAAACCTGCACAACCTTTTCAATAAATAAAAAAAAATCAACACCAATTCCAAAAGCAAAATAAATCGAATTTACAAAAATAAAACAACCTTTATACAACACCCACAACCAATCTCTACGTCCATAATAGTCTTGATGTTAAAAGTTGACCTCAAAACACACTGATAATTTTTTTTTAAATTACATTTAAATATACTTTTTAAATTGATTGTTCTTGTAAACTATTTAATCGTTTTAAAATTATATAAAGAAATACACCAGTTTGAAGTCAAATTTAACGAAGGCCTGATAAAGAATGTGTCTTAAATTCGCAGTGGACCAAACTTATTTCGTATTTAATAAAATATAAAATAAAAGACATGTTCAATTTTTCAGGGCAACTACTCGAAAATATTATTTTAACTCTGCGGCAAAAATAATAAATAAACGATACGAAATAAACTTTAAATTACGTCATTGCGCGATTATTAAATTCATTGTTGCCAACCATAGACGTATTCGGCACTAAGCTCACTATCTTCTTAACTTAAACCAAAAACTTGTAATACAAAACTAAAGTGTCAAAACGAATGACAGTGTCAGGAAATGACATTTTTTACAGTCCGCCTACAACCTGAATAGCCAGCAATAAATTTAGAAAATTTTCATAAAATTTTTTAAATTTATTGCATTTTCATGCCTAAGTTCATCGGATAAATGATTTTATTTCCATAACGAGATTTCGCTGTTTTACTTATAGTCTAAAAGCTAGCAACGTTTTCAAGAGAGAATTTTATAAAAACTGGTTCTTTAATATATCTTTTGCTATGTTCTTCTGAACAGAATGCGGACCGTCTGGCAGCCGGTAGACGTTGCTTTTACTACTGCGCATCACATCTGTATTCAACATCTGTTCCCAACTGCGCATCACAAATTCGCTCTGTATTTCAAGAACTAAAAGGTATGTTCTAGCATACCTATGTATAGCATATTTAGTTTCATAAAAAAGCAGCAAAGTAATGTGAAAATCGCATCATTGTATCTCTACTCATAAACTAGAAATCCCATAAAACACTCAAAAATGGGATACCCATGTGATGCGCAGTAGTCTACCGGAAGCTAGACGGCCCGAACTTTGCTCAGGAGAGCATAGCAAAAGATATATTAAAGGATTAGCTTTTTGTACTGTTATCTTTTTATTGAGGTTAGATTGAATTTGTGAAAAAAGTGTCAAAACGTCCGTTATCGTACGATCTTTCTCCGTTGACGGGTTGGATTAAAAAAATCATGGATGAAAAGTGGCGCGAAAACGCTATGACATCGTATCAAGAGATAACGGAGACATGAAAATCAAGCTTAAGTCATTACAGTTCAAACAACGATCTTTCCTCATAAAGTTTGGTCCACGCAATCCACCGACACCGCTTTTACCGGCGAGAAAAGAAGAAAAAAGCCTCTCCTCCCCTCCACCGTGTTTCCCCCTACTACAACAGCGCGCATCATCAGTCCGCCGACCTACTGCCGTATATCGCCTGCCGGTAGCTGTACCTGTTGGTGACGGGCGACGAGGAGGTCTTGCGCTCGGGTATGGGAGGCGGCACCAGGCCCACCCCCTCCACCAGGGTGACGTGGCCGCCGCCCCCCGACGTCTCGTCCACCTCGCCGATGCTGTTCTCGGCCAGTCGCACCGCGGGGGCAGGCTCGACGATCGTCGTGGACTGCGCGGGAACGTGGAGGGGTTGAGGTGGCGCTCTGGTGCGCAGCGTCCGGATGTAGGTGGTGTACTTGTCGATCTGGAAAGAAAAAAGAGAGTTGCTGGTGTGCTAGGCGTAGATTTTAGTACTCCTAAAAGGTTAGTTGATTGATAAAGATGACTCACGCTACCCTGTATTTTATTTCTTTTGTTTTGTTAAATAAAAATCTTAAAGTTGCTAGACAGCATATATAGGGTGATTCACGGCGATGGCACGTTAGAGGTTTATGGAGAACCGGTGATAGAATTTTTTTGATAATTTGGATTTTTACATAAAGGTACCTGCTCCATCTTCCTAAAATATTTTCAGCATTACAGTGTTGCCGCATCATTCGAAAAGTGGTAGCATCTTTCTTATTTTAAATGGAACACCCAGTAGATTGTTACATTTTTGGAAACTACTTTCATATCTCATAATTTTTCTGTTATACTATAGTGTTATAATAAATATATACTGAGTGTTTCATTTAAAATAACAAAGATGCTACAACCTTTAGTATAAAGCAGCAACACTGTAAAGCTGTAAATAATTTAGACAGATGGAGCAAGTGACTTTGTGCAAAAATCCAAATTTTCCAAAAAATCCTATCACCGGTTAAAAAAATATAAACGCCTAATGTGCCATGGTCGTGAATCACCCTCTATACGGCATCAAAACATAATAGCAACATACCTCAAATTTTAAATACGTTTCTTTCTCTTTGTAGTTTTGAACTATCAGTGATTTAGAACCCTTCTCAGGCGGGGATTTTCTATGTTCTTCCAACATGGCTTCCAGTCTCAATACTCTCTCCTCATGATCAGCTAATTGTTCACGCTATTAACACAAAAACATAGTATACGATAAAAACATAAAAAGTTAACCATAACACGAGATAAAATAAATAAAAAATAAATATTTGAACAAATTTTTACTAATATAAATTAAATAAAACAAAAAAAAATAAGCTTACCAAATTAAATCTAGTACGACTACAGGGCAAGAGCGGCCTTTGGAACTTCCTGTGGGAACCCACAGCCGATTCCAGTGGCGGCGCGGAAAAACTACCGGCCACGAAATTGATAGTGTCGATCCAGGATTGTAGCTCTTTCGAATCGCTAGAAAAAAAAATAAACAGTAGGTTCGATCCCCAGCAAAGACGGTAGTTTTATTTAGTTAAATAAAAATATTTATCTGTCTATTTAGACCGATTTGGCAATGGAAAACCGCGTTGAGTATATTTGCCTAGTAAAATCTATCAACTAGTGCCGTAAAAAATAGTTTCTTTACGTAGCTGTTATTTTATTCTGACGTTTATTCTTTACTAAATGCAAATTCAAGAAACTAACATATAAAATAAAATTATAAGAGATAAAATCGGAAATATTAATTAATTAAGGAATGGTATTTCAAAGACTAGATTTTTGGCGCCCAACGTGAGGCAAAAAGTCTACCTCGTACTAACCTGGTCTGAAAGAGGAACTCCGATTGATCGAACGTCTGCAACCGGAAAACGTACTGCTTCTTGGTGTAGTCGTGCGCCTTGGTGGCGAGCGCATGGTGGATCCGGATGGCGTTGTGGATGTTGTCCCCACCCATCTGGTTCTTGCGGAACCCGTTCTCGTCCTTGTGCAGGTACAGAACCATATCGCGCAGCGTGCAGTAGAACATCTTCCAGCTGCGCTTGTGGAAGGGCGCTAGAAAAACGCAGCAGAGGCCTTCGAAACAGTGCTACCGTGTGGCTACATGCTTTTTGCAAATTCTAGAAAGCCGACCAGCCATACGCGTGCCATAATACTTAAGTCCGATCTTTAATCACAGCCACGAGAAATGTAAAAGTGCAGTATTTTAAGTTAACGTCTCTTTTTGCTCTCAGGACAACTGTAGATGAGGTTTATTTTGAGTTACTGCGTTCCGCAGCTATATAAAGGTCTACAGACTTAACGAGTCTTAAACGCTCTACACACGTAACATACTGCCTGCTTCACGATCGTTGAACGTTACGTCATCGTTATTTGGCAAATATCCTAGATCATATATACTTACGTGGATAAATCAACGCCATAAATTTAGCAAAATGATAAAATTAGCAAAAATTAAAAAATGTTAAAATTTGGCGCGGAGAAGATGGCCTCGACAAGGATAGATAGAGTAGAAACACCTGTGCAACAAAAAAAAAGATAAATGGAAGTCGTTGATATGTTTGCGACAGTTTCCATAGTGAGTTACTTATCCACGTAAGTATATAATATGATCTAGAGGCAAATATACCTTTTAGGGTGTATCTGAGATAAGTTCATATTGTCTAGAAAAATTTAAGTACGTTCTGAAATCAATAAAATTATCTTAAATTCAATAAAATTATAACCCTAAATCAAATGACAATTAGTAAAAACAATGTGCAGTAATTTACGAAATGCCGTAATGACGTCACCAATCTGTTTCACCTGGTTGTCATGTGAAAGAGAGAGTTCGCCAATATATGAGGTGACGTTGAACGATGGCTAAACCAAACAATACACGATGAATATCGTACTCCAGGCAAACTGGATGGTGCAGCAACGTTTGTGTTTGAACAACGTTCATGTTTTTTTATTGTTATTTCTTATTTGTGATTTTATTTAATCAATGAACTACAAATCAAGATATTTTGGGAAGAGTTTACTGGAGTATATAGAGAAAACAGCTGCCTATGGGACGTGAAATCAAGATTATGCATAAAGGCACGCCTATGACTGGTTATAAGGTGGTCTATATGAACTTAGGTAATAAATAGAAATTAAATTTACCAGTAATATTTATTTAAGAGTCCATTAAGAGCTAAACACGCGAATCTTATACATGGTTGGGACAGAAAAATATTGGAGCAGGGTGGGTCTGCTGATACTGGACATTAATGATGTAAATAAATTATTAGAATAGTTTTTAATGAGTGTCCATTTTCACCTTATATTATTACTCAAAATCTCTATTGTATTTCATGGTTAATTATGGCATCTTAGTTAATAAAATGTCCTAAGGGAGTTATGACTCCATTTATGGTTAACATAACCCAGATGATATAAACTTATATTAATTCAGTAAGAAATAAAAAATTGTTCAAGGGCGAGTCGGACTCGCGCACGAAGGGTTCCGTACCATTCATTATCTATACAACATTAGACACTATATTATTATAAACTTTTTTTCCGATTTAGCTGACATTTTGAATGCGCGTATAAGTAATTTAAAAAAAAATGAAGAAACACATTCCTAAAAATTGTATTAATCAATAATAAATATGTAAAAAGTAAAAATAAATATGTAAAAATAAAAAAAAACGATTAAAAAAAGTCGCCTTGACTAGGATTCGAACCTGCCTTACTACGGCTCCAACGTCGTAGCAGCGTAAAGTCCTAACGCTTTAACCACGCGGCCACCGACGACTTGAAAGATTCTATGTAGTCAAATTCTTACTTAAAAGATAATGTTTAGTGAAAGTACTTTTTTATTTATAAAAATTTATTTAATTCTGTTTTTAGTATTTGTTCTTATAACGGCAACATAGACACGTTATCTGAAAAAAATTCAACTGTCTAGCTATAACGGTTCATAAGATAGACCTTTGTGACAGACGGACGGACGGACAGCGAGGTCTTAGTAATAGGGTTCCCCACCCTCAAAAAGAAAATTCCACTTCTCCAACTCCCAGTAGATGACATACCAAGAATTTACAACTTTGAGAAACACCTCACTGTAGTATTGAGTAATAAAAAGGATTGGAAGAAAGAAACGCTTACTCAGCATATAAAAGACCATACCATCACGTGGTATACTGATGCTTCCAAAACCAAAGCAGGGACAGGGATAGGAGTATTTGGGCCGAAAACTAAATACTCCGAACCAATGGGCACCTACCCCAGTATCCTTCAGGCAGAAATTTGCGCTATCGAAAGATGCGTACAATTTATCTTAGATAGGAACTATCGAAAACCATCCTATCCAATAGTCCAAATAGCCATCCTATCCGATAGTCAAGCAGCACTTAACGCGATCAACTCAGTAACCATCAATTCGAAGTTGGTCAAAGAATGCCTAGACAACAAATTAGGCAAAGAAAATAAAGTCCTCCTATTCTGGGTGCCTGCTCACCAAGGGATAGAAGGCAATGAAAAAGCAAATGATCTAGCTAGAAAAGGAGCGAACACTCCACTAACTGGACCAGAACCGTTCTGTTTTCCAAACGGGAACCAACTGAAAGCGGAACTGAAGAATCTGGAAGACTCCATCCGTAACTTCGAATGGGTGTCCTCCAACGGTCTAAGACACTCGAAAAAGTTCCTCAGAACCTACGACCGAGAAAAATCAAAGGTTTTCCTTGATTTAAGTAAAAAACAATCTTCGGATTGTCACGGGGTTTCTAACAGGATACTGTCTCCTCAACGAACACCTCAGTAGGCTCAAAAACTGAGAAACAACGGCGAATGCAGATTTTGTGGGGAAATTGGGGAAACACCAGAACACCTTATCACTGAGTGCGCCGAGACGACGACCATTCGTGCCATGAACCTTGGTACGTCTGATGTCGAGGATGGAGTGCTGGCCTCTGTGGAGCCGTCTCAGATACTGGCTTTTGTTAAAGCCCTGAGACTGTATGATGAGGTATAACTCGTTATAACTCAAGAAAGGGGAACACACAATAGATCTATAAGCTCGCGGTGATTAACTCCCCTCCTAAACATTCTACATTCTACAATAGGGTTCCCGTTTTTACCCTTTGGGTACGGAACCCTAAAAAAAGGTCATTTAATTTGTAGCCTTAATTGACAATTTAATAGTTCACAGTTACTTTTAAGCGTGATGGCGTAGCAGTTTTTTTTTCTACGGTTTTTAACCCCGAAAGTGTTGAACCACATGCCGCCAATATAAATATGTTGAACAATATTTAAGTCTATCAAAGTTAATGGACTCTTAAATTCAAAAATTCTATGAGAAATCCTCACAATATATCCAACAAGCAGCAATAAAAAATTATTTATTAAATAACACAGAATGAAAGTTATTCTCGTTACTAAAAGCTTGTTGTTATCACAGAAAAAGTAACACAAACTTGTTCTACTAAAATACTAAGACCGTACCTCCTATTTAGCGATATGAAAAAAAATCTGTGTTAGTAATGCTGCCAAAAGCAGGCGTGAGTTAGTATAGAAATTTAAAAATATCTTTGAGGTGTATAAGATTCTTTATTATTTTTATAATTTAATAAAAAAAGAGAATACCTCAAAAACACTGTTGATTATAATAAATATAGAAAAAAATAGTAAAATTGAATCGAAAAATAAGTGAAATAAATTATAATTAACTCGAAATACTCACTTCTTTTGGCGTTGGTCTCGTAACAGCTCTTCCGCATGACGTAGCCCTTCTTATATTCCACCATTGTCAAGGGATTTGGCAGTTCCAATAAGGGATTTCCGCTTAGGTTTATAACGTCATAAACTACCTGAGCCGGGACTGGTGCGTTTTCCTGTTCCTCATCTCTGTAAATAAAAACAATAAATTCTTAAGTACACAAACATAATTCACCACAACACACCAAAACACTACTTTTAACACTATACCGGGTGTTGCTTCGTCGGACGGGACATAGGAAATCCCATGTAAATTTTAATGGGGTCAATTATTGGCTTCCCTAATTATTTTAGAGAATAATTCTATTTAAGTTTATCGAAGAGCACTAAAACCCACATTCAAAAGAATAACTTTAGATATTTTTGATTAGCCCGTTTACGAGTTATCGCCGATTTCTTTTTAAATATTCCTCCTTTGTTATGGCCCTGTATTTACTTATGAGCACCAGTCAAGCTAAAAGATAACTGTCAAATGAAGTTGTCATTTCAGAAATTTACCTATTTAGTGCTTTATTATTATTGAAAACTCACTCCTACATCGGAAATCTTAAAGATGTATTTATAAATACAAATTAATATGAATTAAAGTAAAATCAAGTAATCAATTACAAGGTTAATTATAGTATTATTACAATATTCAATAACTTATTAATTTAGGTACTATTAAATTGTTAGAACTTTAGGATTTAAGAAGAAGTTCAAATATTCCTCCATCGACTGCTAGACAATAACCCAGGCGATCATAAAATTCTCTTCTTACATTCGCTAGTTGGTAAACTGAAATTCTATTGTATTCGGCAGAAATAGTATTTTTTAACTCGTCTAGATTTGGGTAGTTTTTATCCTTGTATATCCTGTTTTTTAAATGGCCCCAGAGAAAGAAATCATTTGGCGAAATATCAGGACCTTGCTGGCCAATTTACTGTATGATTTAGGCCAATAACGTTTAGGTTAAAACTATTGTCTAAATATTCCCGAACAGCCAGGGTACTATGTGCCGGGCAGCCATCCATTTGGTACCAAACTTCCTGATTTTCCCTAGTGGCATCATGTAAAGCAGGTAAAATATGATTTTCGAGTAGTTCCAAATAATACTCTGCATTTAAATTTCGCGTAAGAAATAATGGCCCGATAATATTGTGTCCGAATATCCCTGCCCAATTATACAATCAATTATTTCTAATGGATTTCGAAATATCGATTTTTGAATCCAGAGTTCTAATAACGCGACCACTGTCAAACACCAACTCAATTCCACTTATTTTTACCAAAGTGCAAGTGTTTCTAACTTGCACTTAAAAATTTACAAGCTATAGGGAAAATTACGACTAGTTAATAAATAAACAAATAAAGATAGGAACTATATTAGTCGGCAACGCTGAACGGCACAAGCTTAATCACGTCACTAAAAGTTCATTTGGTATGATCTATACTTACAGTGCCCACTCCAACGGATGATTCTTAATGGCGTGGTAGAGCTGTTTCAGCACATCCCTAGGAAAATTCTCGCCCTCGTTCAGATCAGTGAGATTCTCGATAAATTCGCTACACGTCATCTTTCTACCGATGTTCTGCGCGTGCAAGTCGGTGTTCAGTAACATGATGGCGCATGTCAGTGTATGAACAGCATCTGGAATATACCAGAAATTATTTATTAGTCACATAGAATAATATTAAGGGTGGTCCAAATATAAGTAAAAAAGTTTGTATAAATGTGTGTCAAAAAATGCTTCGCTTCAGAGATACAGGGTGTAGAAATTTCATTTTTATTTCGATTTTTTCCAAATAATTTCTGAACAAACGTCGATATTTGGATGAAAATTGGTGTCTAGATGGTTTTTGACATGAGAAATCTGATTTTGATGTCAATATGACTCCTACTTGTAGGGGCGCCACCTCCATATTTTTTTTTATTAAACATTTTTTACTTCTTTTAGTCTGCCGAATATATTGCCTAAGTTTCACGATTGTTATTCGGACAACCCTGTATAGTCCAAGATCCTGTATGTGTCCTTTTGAAGTATCCCTCCAATCATAGATATATTACACTATGTCGCTAGTCAGGAATAGAAATTGAAGCCAAGTTTTTGAGATGGAGCTATACAAAATCCACATAAGTCGGTCCTTTTCGTCCAACAGCTTTGAACTACGCAAGCGTGAGAGGTGCTTCTCGATTAGTTGATTTATTTCATACTAACCAATAAAAGTAGTTTTCCAAGTTTCTATGTACCACGTAAATCAATTTAACGTCCGACTATTCGCGCCTTTACTTATAAATTTTAATTTAATCTCTGACATATTTAAAAAAAAACAAGAAACGGATAGATATGATGAATATCTAAAATAACAGGTTGAAATAATGCCATTACCAATAAAAAATTAATATTTTATACGTTATTAATATTTAGAGTTTAAAATAGTGCGCGGGCAGGTGACAGCGTTCAGCGATGAAGTAGACGTCAGATCGTTTTATTTGGTGCGTTGAACGAAAAGGATAGACTTATGCAAGATTGATATTCCTATTTCTTTTCTTTGGCTTCAATTTCCACTCATTGTGTAAATGCAATACTAGCAATATATATTCTTAGAATATATTTGCCTCCAATGAATAGGCTCTTGAATAAAAGTTAAAAAAACTCACCTTGCGAATTGAACGATCCAGGATTGCAATCCAAATACCTTTTGGAAAAATGAACTAAAACGCGTTCCCTCTCCTGCGTCTCGCCAGTCAGAGAGAACTGTTTGAGGAACTTTTTTAACGCCGTATCTAACGTTTCCTTTTCGAAGTTGAAATACTTTAAGTATTCTTCTGCCACAGCCCTGCTAAAGTCATTGCTGCAAAGAGAAAACAACACTATACTTGTATTACTTAGAACATGATCTTTCTAAAAATAGACATGCATTTTTTTATCTACAAATGTGTCAAATCTACTTCGAGTTTTCAATTATTTTCGGAACAGTCAATTTTAGTAAAATAGAATAGTGAAAACAGTCTTACTTTTTACTAAGATGCCTCGAGACGTCGGATTTCTTGAACCCGTCCAAACTGAACAGCCTCTTGGCCAATCGGATCGCCGAGGGCATGTCCACCGCTTTCGGCGAGTAGTGGAAACTATGTAGGCTTTCCACGTCGCTTTCGTCCTCAGAAGACAATGGCGAAGATCTTTTCTCGTCGTCTTTGTAATCGTCGTCATGGTAGTCCTGGAAACAACAGCAAGAAATTTAACTCAACACCAAACTTAAATTTGTACCATTGCGATCAAAAAAAAGTAGTACAAGAATTAGTAGTCCCAGATAGAACTCCTGGTCTATAAGGATATCGATATGCCACCGATATATGATATGATATAATTATGCCACCTAACTTTTTAGGCGTTACCATGGATTTGGTAATAATTGGTAGGTATATGTGGTGAAATAAAAGTATAAAAATTCTGATGACACTGAATTATCAGTTTGAAAGAAAATATTTTATTATAGACCAGGAGATTTTGTTGTACTACTTTTTTTTTATTGCAATGGTACACTGATTATATTACCTGCTGCGCATGAACCTCTCCCCCACCACCGCCGACGATATCGCCGTTACCCTGCAAGTGGCCCTTCTTTTCCTGGGGCCCGCGCACCTGTATGACGATCCTGTGATCGCCGCTGTGCGCAGTACCACCGTCCGAGGACTGCCTGACGAGGGTGCCGCGCAGCCTACCTCCTCCAGGTTCCGGGCCCAGCAGCGTGCTGTCGCTGTCGCTGTGGTCGCTGATCTCCATGACGCAGTCGTGGATGCCGACGCTGTCATCGTCGTCGTGGTAGTCGGGGCTCGAAATGTTCGAAATGGCTGGAAGAAATAAGAAGTTTAAATGAGAGAACAAACGAATTATTTCTTAAGAAAGTTTTCATGAACTTGTATGTAGAAGAGACTACTATCAAGGCCAAGCAGCAAGAGACGTGGCAACATCGTGAGGACTGCGCTACAGCTCGAAAACTGTGGCCAGTGGTAGATAGTAAAAATACTATACAACCAAAATAGGCAAGGTTTTTTGGAGGGACTAGCGGAAGAAAAAATAAAATTTTAATTTTAGTTAATTAATTTTAACCGCGTTTTTTGCAAAAAATAGATAAAAAATGGCACACCCGACTGCATACGTCTTGTCATCAAAGCTTTACTAGACAAGACTGATGCACACCACTGCTTCTAGTTGCATAAATTTGGCGCTAAATTTAAAAATGTGACTAAACCATGTAATTATCAATTTCGCCCCAAACTACGGTACTAGTTCTACGTCCACGAAACACTGAGACACCCTGTATAATTTATCATTTTAAATTTACCACAAAACAAATCCGATGTAGAAAGAAATGCAAATATTTACTTAATAATTAATATTAAACTTCCTGCAAATAGTTTATATCCGTGTCTAAATTGTATACCGGGTGCGTCCCAAAACTGGCTCACCCCTATAACTTTTTTATTTTATCAGATAAAAAAACGAGATTTGGTATGTTAGCATATGACATAAATTAGGATTGATTGACGTATTCAATTGTTTTCTGTAACATCCTGTTTCACCGGAAATGACTACAACTTTTGATTTTTAAATGGCATCCTCGGTATTTTTTTTACTTGATTCGATAGAAAATGACATTCTAAATAGAATAACATATCATATGTCAACTTTTGACATTTTTGCTTAAAACAAAATTGAATTTTAAATTTCAATCTAGAGTGTCATGGCTGTGTTAAAAACACTAATTTTTAATCAAGGGGCCTTGAAAAAATAGATTTGATCGTCTAATGTTATTCGGGTCTTGTCCAGGTCAGTTAAAAGATGCCCAAATCGTATTTTTAATCATATCTCAATTTTTTCATATGGACAGGAGGTGGCTCATTAGCATATTTGGAAAAATATTTTTTTTTGCGAAAAGGTCTTGAATCAAATTATCGTTATGAATCTCATGTCGCAATTTCAAATAAACCATATTCGAAAATGTCAAAAGTTGACATATGATATGTCATTCTATTCAGAGTGTCATTTTCTATCGAATAAAGAAAAAATATACGGAGGATGCCATTTAAAAATCAAAAGTTGTAGTCATTTCCGGTTAAACAGGAAGTGACAGAAAACAATTGAATACGTCAATCAATACTAATTTATGTCATATATTAATAACTTGTGTCTAGCCCTAGCTGGCAACTATTAAGCCCGACCAATCACGTTAGAGTTTTTGACAAACACAAATGAATGAACACCCTTCAAATAACCACGCTAACCAACCTGATTGGTCAAGCTTAATAGTTGACTTCTAGGGCTAGACACTTCTTATATTAATATACCAAATTTCGATTTTTTATCTGAGAAAATAAAAAAGTTATAGGGGTGAGCCACTTTTGAGACGCACCCGGTATTCAAAGTACTCGAACACAAGAATTACACTTATTTACATTAATTTTTTTCATATTTGGTTGTTATTGTTATTCAATTAACATCAAATACGGAGTTTATTTGGTCAAACAATAATAGCAAACAGACCAGTTAGCAAAACCATTAAAACTGTATAAATCATTTTTGCAAAAAAAACATTGCGACAAAAAATTATGTATCTGTCCAAGAAGTCAGGAAAATTTCGACACACGGCATCCAAAAAATGACAGAAAATTCGATTTACCTGTGATGTGAATTAAAATGACAGACAACAATTGTCATTCTCGGGTATAGTATCGTTGAACAGACTATAGAAATATATCTATTTTAATTAGCACCAAAAATATAGATGATGATTGTATGTATAAGATAAATTTGCATTGATAAATAAGTTTATAAAAAATAAACTATTATTACATCATGATTGTTATCAAAACATTCTAGAAAAATAGCAAAATAAATATCATATGATCACACAGAAGGTTATAATTTTTATATAATAAATATTGAAATATTTCTAACCTCCATTTCTCTTGACGGATGATAATCAAAGGCCAAAAATCTACTAATTCTACTACTTTCTACTAATTGAAAATTACTACCACTAATTTAGTAGTTCTTAATACATACATTGAAATTAGAGGCAAAACTTCTACGCCAATTGAAACCACTAATTTCGAGGTGGTTCAGAATGAATCTTAATAATTAATTATTCTTACCTAGTTTGTTCAAATTTTTACACATAACACGTTTAATCCAGCACAGTAAAAATAAGAAAAAGATGCAGTCAAAGTTCTAAAGACAATTCAAAAACCTAGATGATTTTTCACATTTCTTAAATTAACAAACATTAACCACCATGGACTAGAATACCACAAAAAGTGATACGAATTTTTATCAATAACGACTAATACTGTTTATTTACGACAATATCAGTGAAAATAAAGCAGTATCACAGGAAAAAAGAATCTACTATCTCTACGACACTTGGTAGATAAAAACCGACCGATCGACAACGGCAGATGCATAATTATTATTGAATAAAAAATATTTCGTAAAAGAGATTAATATTACAGCAGAAAAATTTTTCGTTTATTTATTGTTAAATCATTGATAAGGGATTTAAAGTTACTTATATGATGATTTTGTGCCTATTGAGATTTTTTAAAGCAACTGTTGTTGAGACTCCGCATTGTGAAAGTGAAATTCTTCTAGTGATGAAAAACCCAGAAGACTTTTCAAGAAATGAACGCGCCACAAAGGTAAAGGTACGCACATATACGTATCACCCTTGTATATGTATTTTTAAAGTCGATTAATCTATTTATGGACTAAGACTACGAGTACTAGAAGGCAGGACCGTTTTCTCTGTATTTTACTACAGAAAAATATTTTTTTTGTTACTCTGAATTTAGGAGCGACGAAGACCTAGTGATTTTCGCACTGCAGCTGCTGGGAACTAGTGATTTTCCCACTGCGGGGACCTAGAGATTTTCCCACTACGAAGATCTAGTGATTTTCCTACTGCGAAGAACTAGTGATTTTCCTACTGCAGGGACCTAGTGATTTTCCCACTGCGAAGACCTAGTGATTTTACCACTGCAGGGACCTAGTGATTTTCCCACTGCAGAGACCTAAAGTAAACGCCACGAATGTTTGGGAGTGATTCATCGCTTGATGAAGTTAGAATCGACACGCGCGCTATCATTTTTACATTAAAAACGTAAATTTTTACCGCAGACGTAGGTTTTTAAAGGCCCGGTCTAATCATCTACCTGCGCTCCTCCTACTTATTCTAAAATGTTAGCGTGATTGACAAAGACGATACTATATCGCGTTTCTTTGATTGATTCGTTTTTGGGCGTCAGTCCATTGGTGTGCTTGCAGTGCGACCAATGGGACATTCCATTTTATATTTATAACCAAATATATGTTTTGACAAGACTTTGACAGTTAAAACAACAGATTATATATTGATTATTATATGACTTGAAACACCACAGCACTGGAATTAAGTTTTATGTGACCTTGAACAGATTAGTTCACGTATAGTCTGTGAAACGAATAACTTTGAATTTGACAGTTCCCGCGGGCTTTTCTAGTGTTAATTTTATTAGGTTAGCAACATGCGGCCATGCTTACTCAATGCCGTCTCTAATAGAACAGCCTCGTAGCGAGATTTATGACGTCACGCTAGTTAGATACTACCGATTTATAAAAATATGTTGTAGAATACATGGAAAACATAATATTCCTCGCATTTTTGGTTTGTATTTTAAAAATGATATAGTTTACATGAAATATACATAAGATACAGTTAATAAATACAATATATATATATATATATATATATATATATATATATATATATATATATATATATATATACCTATTTATAGTAATAAATACTTTGGCAAATGAACTATGAACCATACAAATGCAGCAAATGTTTTACAATATACAAATAATGAATAGGTACATAAGATAATGGGTAAAACGTAAAATATATTTTAATTTTTGAGGTTTGAAAATCGATCTAATTTAACAAACAACATTCAATATCTGTATTCCATTCGTGATGTATTATTATTTGCATTCACAAAATTTATATGTATATTTTGCAAGTATCAATGTTCAAAAAATTATATTTGCAAATAATACAATATCATAGAAAAAAAGATGTCAGCGATGGCTATGAAATAAAGATCGCTGTCATTTTATATGTAAAATTATTCTAAAATTTTTGATTTTCTTGGGATTTAGGTTCGGGGAAAACGCTGATTAAGTTTTCATTTGGTTTTTCATTATTTTTTTTAGTTTAAAAAAAATTTTTTTAGTATAACCAAAAGTACAAGGAATAATTATGTTTCCATGTATTCTACAACATATTTATTAATCCGTACTATCTAACTAGCGTGACGTCATAAATCTCGCACCGAGGCTGTTCTATTAGAGACGACATTGGTCTGATATTTAGAAATGTCAAAAGCTGATGACATTTTACTTTGACAATTATGACATTTCGTGTTGATTTTTGCAAGAAGAGGAAGAACTGTCACCTAGTTTATTATTTTCCAGTTATATTTCACGAAAGTAAAAAGAGTTACCTATCTGATTCATTCAGGCACTCAATTTAAAGAATATCAGTAACTTTCTTGACAGAGAGATTTTATATTTGCCATGTTGGTAAAAAATAACGGTCAAAATTCAAAGTTATTCATTTTATAGACTATAGCGACCGATGAATCACTCCCAAACATTCGTGGCGTTTACTATAGTTATTTACCCACTGCGAAGACCTAGTGATTTTCCCACTGCAGGGACCTAGTAATTTTCAGAGAGGAACTAATTAAAAGACGTTCACGGGAATCTATTAAGTCGGCAGATCCGAGATATAATACAAGGCGACAACGATGGATTCGGCATTGTCTGTTGCCACAGCCGACGTAATTACCACAGAAAATTTTCGAGGATACTGTTTTTGATTTTTAGTTTGTTTTTTTGAATATTTTATGGGAACCTTTCACTTTAGGTCGCTAAAATTAAGAAATACCTTATAAAACGAAGTAGATATTCTGAATTTTTAGACAAAAACAAAAAGCTTGAAAAAAAAATCGTATTATTTGCTCCAATTGATTTGTGATATAGTTTTTTAAACTGTGATTTGAGTTTCTTTTTTATTTTTTTTATCTGCAATAAAACTTACCTATATTTTTTTAACATACGCAAACGTCTCCTTATATTTCGTACATTACAAAAATTATACAGATCATATTGTGAATAGTTGTGACTGACAACGAAACCCATTAGCGAGCAACGGGGATGTCAATGTTAGTCGGGAACTATTTTGAAGTAAAGACCTAGTTCAAGGAACTATTCATCTGGAGGAACTAGAACTAAGGAACTAGTTCCTCCCAAGGAACTAGAATTCCCACTTCTAGTTTACGTATACGTCTTTGGTCGTGCTTTGTCTACTGTCTATTGGTATAAATGTTTAACAAACAAACAGGTACGCAGATTATCCTGTGACTCTGATATTTACCTTCCGACATGCTGAAATCGAAGGTCTGCTGTTGGTGAGGTCCATTGGTGAGGGAGTAAGGTAGTCGGCGCGAGCCCGACTGGCTCGACATCACCGAGGAAGAGACGGAGGTGGGCGAGTTGGGTGAGCCAGTTTGTAGGGGGCTGCTGGACGCGGAGGTGTTGCTGTGCGACGAGCTGCTGCCGTTGGACAGCGTGTGCCCCAGCTTGTGCAGCTCCGAAACGGGCGCGTTATACGTCCAGACGATCCTAGAACAAAAAGAGGAGACAACCTTAGTCTAAGCGATGTTAGACGTTGTTAAATGCCGAATAAGATTCGGCTTTTAACGTTTTATGTAAAATTGGCTAGGTATTTTTACACAAATGAAGAAGGAAATTAAAGATAAAGGATTATACTAAATCCGTATTGTAGTTTGTAGCACATTTTTAGACTACTTCTTTATTTTTATGATTTTGATGGTCAAACTCAACAAAATATTCCTTATGTTTGGACTAGATTTTCTCGAAAATAAAGATATAATTTAAAATTCCGTTACAATACGGAAATAGATTGAAGTTTCGTGATTATTATCCAAATCATCTTCCAAAATGTCATTTTCATCAAAACCCATGTTATAGGTATATTATTTTTAAATAAAAACAAGTATAAAAAAGTGCTAAAAGCACAAAGAATAGGACAATATAACACAGAATTATAAAGTTAGATAATCTACGTTTAAAACTTAAACGCCCAAATATGACCATTTAAACATTGATTAAATAAGTATAAACAACGTTTATGTAATGGTGCAAATAAAATATTATAGTTAAGCACTGTCTAGCCTTTAAAAAAAGCTTGTTTCCTAAAATATTTTGATTGAAAGAAAATATGTAAAAGTTGGCAACGCTGTGCCGGTCTAGTATAAAGTCATTAGAGAATACTAATTGTTACCCAACGCAATGAGGTAAAGTAAAACCAAAAGGCCGCATGTTCTGTGGTTTTCTATGCATTACTATACTGCGTACTTTACTTTTAAATAATTAAAGAAACGCTAGCAACAATTTGTGTTAATGGCTGCTTTCCAAGAAGTGTAAACTAAAATAACTTCATGTTTTCTAATATTAAATCGACAAAATTGAAAGTAAATACAAATAATAATAATACATTTATATTCAAGTAACCTCGAAAAAATAATTAGGTATTTCGAGAACACTTTGAATAAATACAGTATTGTTTTCAAATACCGACAAATAATAGTATGCCTATTTGATTAATAATTAATGTTGTAACGTTTTTAGTTCGTTACATGTCTTTTTTATATATAATATATGATGTCTGGCCTATCATCACCGGATTCCCTATTGTTCAGGCCGGATAATTTAATTGGCGCACTTGGCGTAATTTTTACGTTCTCTAGTAAACAACCCTGTTATCGTTTGAAACAACCCTGTTATCGCTCTGAGGAGGCGCTGTCAACATCGCTTCTGTCAACGCTCTCTGTGCTTAACCTCACTTTGTTTTGCCGCTCTGTTGTATCCCGGCTTTTAGAAATGGTGATTATTTAAATCTTGCTGTATAATTTGAATCAGCTGCTATTTCAAACCAACAGGGTAGTGTTTTGGATGTCCCAACTTAACTTGTATTTGTAGTTTGCTGGCACGTTGGCGTCCCTTTTCTTTTGTCCTCCAGAATGTTACACGGAAGAAAGGACAGTTTCTTTGTTTATTATTGAGCCCTCGGAAGTAATTCGAGAAGGTACGGGTAGTGTCCCCATATTGCCCGAGCGTGGATGTAGCTTGAGCCCCATGCTGCTTCGTTCCCATCTATAACTTAGTTAGTAGTTACGGCTGTATCAATTCATGGTGTCCTCATTCTGGCCCCTTTTGTTGTATTGGATGGCCGAGTACAGAGATGCGAGCCCACCTCACGCTGCTACTCTTCGAAACAGGATTGCCTCAAGAACAGCTAAGTGTAGATTTAGGTTTTGGTTTTCAGTCGATTTTCAGTCTTAACTAAATAACGTACATTTTAAATATTATCGTACAGACTATATTTAGTGGTTAGATTATTAAGAACATTTATGTCGATTTAGTAGTTACAATATGATTTAGATTTTAGGTTTCATTACATTACGCCTTGTAATAGTATTACTTTTTTATATATGTTATTATTGCACTAACATCATATAAAATATATCAAATTAATTAAAGTAATGCTACATTTCATATATTCTCTTAAACTTTACATGTCTTGTATTTTATCATAGTTGTTTTCATAGATATTTAGTACAATTCTTAACATCACTTTCCTTGACATATAACCACTATAATATTATTAAAATTGTACAATGCTATTTACCATCACAGTCCATCTTGAATAAATATAGTCATTAGTTTTAAGTAATATACAACTGTGTTTTCTTTCTCTGTACATGCCTGGCGCCCAATATCTATATTTTTTTGTTTATTGTTATTGATTAGTTTTCTCTCTAGTGAAATACCTTATCCACGACTGCTCTCCGATGAAAAGCTGCCGTTCGCAGAGGTAGTTGTTTAAAAAAACGCTACAATGTATAACCAAACTTAGAAGACATGAATAATTTTCTTAAATATTATGCAAAACTTTTGACTACAGCAGCGGCGGCCATTACGGTTGATTCTCACTATACCTTCCGTTTCCATTCCATATCCGTTCCGTATTTTTTATTGTATTCACGCTATACGTAAGCTTCCGTTCCGTATCAGTTCCATACTTTTAATTATACAATTTATATAATTACGAAAGTTTTATTTTAAAAATTTGTATCTTTTGAAAAAGGTAATAGATTTAATTAAGAGGTGAAAGAATAAATAAATATCAGTAAAATGTTAACAGAGCTGGTACAAATGTAAGAACTGACAACGCTGTTTCCGATACGCTTCAATCCGTCCGCCAAAAAAAGGTATGGAAGGAAAGGATATGGCAAGGAAGGGAAATGGAAAGTATAGTGTGCACTGTCCTATTCATTTACATGATATAATATTTTATGTAAACGGAAGGGAAACGGAAGGTATAGTCTGTAAAACGAATAACTTTGAATTTGACAGTTCCCGCGGGCTTTTCTAGTGTTAATTTTATTAGGTTATCAACTTGCGGCCATGCTGACGCAATGCCGTCTCTAATAGAATAGCCTCAGAGCGAGATTTATGACGTCACGCTAGTTAGATACTACGGATTAATAAGTATGTTGTAGAATACATGGAAAACATAATTATTCCTCGTATTTTTGGTTTGTATTTTAAAAATGATATAGTTTACACGAAATATACATAATATACAGTTAATAAATAAAATATATATACCTATTTATAGTAATAAATACTTTGGCAGATAAACTATAAACCATACAAATGCAGCAAATGTTTTACAATATGGCTGAAATCGTACTCCATAGTCAATGTAGATAGTTTTTGTGTTAAGAATAATAATTTAAAAAATATATGGTCATCTTTTGACAAGTTTATATTAGTTTATTAATTGCAGTAAACATTATAATATATAAATAAATTTTGTTAATGCAAATAATAATACATCACTATTATATAACTTACTATTCACTACTATAATCACTATTTATAGATATTGAATGTTTTTTGTTAAATTAGATCGATTTTCAAACCCCAAAATTTAAAATATATTTTACATTTTACCCATTATCTTATGCACCAACTATTCATTATTTGTATATTGTAAAACATTTGCTGCATTTGTATGGTTCATAGTTTATTTGCCAAAGTATTTGTTACCATAAATAGGTATATATTATATTGTGTTTATTAACTGTATATTATGTATATTTCATGTAAACTATATCATTTTTAAAATACAAACCAAAAATACGAGGAATAATTACGTTTTCCATGTATTCTACAACATATTTATTAATCTGTAGTATCTGACTAGCGTGACGTCATAAATCTCGCCCCGTGGCTGTTCTATTAGAGACGGCATTGGTCTAATATTTAGAAATGTCAAAAGCTGATGACATTTTACTTTTGTCAATTATGACATTTCGTTTTGATTTTTGCAAGAAGAGGAAGAACTGTCACTTGTTTTATTATTTTCCTTTTCTATTTCACGAAAGTAAAAAGAGTTACCTATCTGATTCGTTCAGGCACTCAATTTAAAGTATATCAGTAACTTTTTTGACAGAGGGATTTTATATTTGCCATGTTGGTAAAAAATAACGGTCAAAATTCAAAATTATTCATTTTATAGACTATAGCTGATATGGAAGGTATAGTGCGAATCAACCTTTAGTTGGCCCACCAGTACATTAAGTAAAACTTCAAATGATTCTGTCAAGTCTTAGAAAAAACGAATAAAAATAATATTATTTACTCATAAGTTCTCCTAATTTTAATTTTTATTTTGCTTGTGTGTAATTAGCGAAATAATTTTGGCTTTAGACCAAGCAAAACAGCGAAGTAAACAAAATTAATATGAACATTTTCTAAAAATAAAACCGGCGCCCTAGATCATTACTTTATATTCTTTTTCGATTCCCATAAACAAATTTTAATGGATCGTTTTAGAGAGATAGTTGGTAAAAATCATATTTGAAAACGGATTTGTGACCTATATTTCAAGATGTGTAGGTAGGTGTGTGGCTTTTTCATTTTCTTTAATCTCTGCCTAATTAGCTCTTTAAGCGTTTTGAGGTAGTGGTTTGGATGTATGGTTATCAGTTTTCTATTTTAATTAATTCACGATTATTATTAGAATCATTATTTTAAATAATTAGTGAAATAGTTACCTTGTAAATTAAAAATATACACACTGTACCTAAAGCACTCTTATTTTTAATAAAAAAAATACACTTAAATTGAAGGGCAAAAAGTTATCCACTAAAAAATTACGTGAACTTGAGGACAGGTTGGTGTTAAAAGTCGGAAAAATATCTTATCTATTAGTAAAATATTTTATTACTGATTAATAAATCATTTTGTCAAATGTAGTAGACGTATTAATAAAAAAAAGACGTCATTTATTATGAGCTGTCGCCGCTTATTTGCATCTAATTTTAATAAAACAAATACATTCATCGGATATGTATAGATTTATATCTGAGTTGTTAAAATAAAAATTTTTTTTTTGATTTTAACAACTCATTAAAACATTACATAATAATATAAGTGTTATTTTTATTTCAATTAAGTATTAATTATTTTAATATTATCTAAAATATACCTGGATACGTTTTAGTTTCATATCTTGATAAAAATAGAGAGATATATAGCAAACTGTAATTCTTAACAATTATAAACTGTTTTCTTCTTCATATTTGGTTAATTTTGAGTTTGTTCTTTTGATTTCTTCAAAAAATTTGAAACTCTATGTCAAATCCAAACGTCTGTTTGGCATTCAATGTCAAAAACTTTTGGTTTTTTTTTCTTAGTTACAACCAGGCCCTAGGCACTAAATAGTAATTTTATATTTGATTAATTGCTTGTTTCTCTCTACAATTTCCTGTCTCACAATGTACCGTTTGTGTCCAGGAAGGGTTCATAGTTTCATAGTTGTCGATTTTCGAAAGAAATCAGTACATGTATATTATTTTGTATATTTTTCATTTTATTGATTTTATGGAAAGCACTGTTCATTAAAATGTTGTATCCTATGTTATAGGGCTTGTTTCTCTCTACAATTTCCTGTCTCACAATGTACCGTTTGTGTCCGGGAAAGGATCATAGTTTCATAGTTGTCGATTTTCGAAAGAAATCAGTACATGTATATTATTTTGTATATTTTTCATTTTATTGATTTTATGGAAAGCACTGTTCATTAAAATGTTGTATCCTATGTTATAGGGCTTGTTTCTCTCTACAATTTCCTGTCTCACAATGTACCGTTTGTGTCCGGGAAAGGATCATAGTTTCATAGTTGTCGATTTTCGAAAGAAATCAGTACATGTATATTATTTTGTATATTTTTCATTTTATTGATTTTATGGAAAGCACTGTTCATTAAAATGTTGTATTCTATGTTATAGGGCTTGTTTCTACAATTTCCTGTCTCACAATGTACCGTTTGTGTCCGGGAAGGGATCATAGTTTCATAGTTGTCGATTTTCGAAAGAAATCAGTACATGTATGTTATTTCGTATATTTTTCATTTTATTGATTTTATGGAAAGCACTGTTCATTAAAATGTTGTATCCTATGTTATAGGGCTTGTTTCTCTCTACAATTTCCTGTCTCACAATGTACCGTTTGAGTCCAGGAAGGGATCATAGTTTCATAGTTGTCGATTTTCGAAAGAAATCAGTACATGTATATTATTTCGTATTTTTCATTTTATTGATTTTATGGAAAGCACTGTTCATTAAAATGTTGTATCCTATGTTATAGGGCTTGTTTCTCTCTACAATTTCCTGTCTCACAATGTACCGTTTGAGTCCAGGAAGGGTTCATAGTTTCATAGTTGTCGATTTTCGAAAGAAATCAGTACATGTATATTATTTTGTATATTTTTCATTTTATTGATTTTATGAAAAGCACTGTTCATTAAAATGTTGTATCCTATGTTATAGGGCTTGTTTCTCTCTACAATTTCCTGTCTCACAATGTACCGTTTTTTGTCCGGGAAGGGATCATAGTTTCATAGTTGTCGATTTTCGAACGAAATCAGTACATGTATATTATTTCGTATATTTTTTATTTTATTGATTTTATGGAAAGCACTGTTCAATAAAATGTTGTATCCTATGTTATAGGGCTTGTTTCTCTCTACAATCTCCTGTCTCACAATGTACCGTTTTTTGTCCGGGAAGGGATCATAGTTTCATAGTTGTCGATTTTCGAACGAAATCAGTACATGTATATTATTTCGTATGTTTTTTATTTTATTGATTTTATGGAAAGCACTGTTCAATAAAATGTTGTATCCTATGTTATAGGGCTTGTTTCTCTCTACAATTTCCTGTCTCACAATGTACCGTTTGTGTCCCGGAAGGGATCATAGTTTCATAGTTGTCGATTTTCGAAAGAAATCAGTACATGTATATTATTTTGTATATTTTTCATTTTATTGATTTAATGAAAAGCACTGTTCATTAAAATGTTGTATCCTATGTTATAGGGCTTGTTTCTCTCTACAATTTCCTGTCTCACAATGTACCGTTTGTGTCCCGGAAGGGATCATAGTTTCATAGTTGTCGATTTTCGAAAGAAATCAGTACATGTATATTATTTCGTTTTTATTGATTTTCTGGAAAGCACTGTTTATTAAAATGTTGTATCCTATGTTATAGGGCTTGTTTCTACAATTTCCTGTCTCACAATGTACCGTTTGTGTCGGGGAAGGGATCATAGTTTCATAGTTGTCGATTTTCGAAAGAAATCAGTACATGTATATTATTTCGTATATTTTTTATTTTATTGATTTTATGGAAAGCACTGTTCATTAAAATGTTGTATCCTATGTTATAGGGCTTGTTTCTCTCTACAATTTCCTGTCTCACAATGTACCGTTTGTGTCCCGGAAGGGATCATAGTTTCATAGTTGTCGATTTTCGAAAGAAATCAGTACATGTATATTATTTCGTATATTTTTCATTTTATTGATTTATTGAAAGCACTGTTCATTAAAATGTTGTATTCTATGTTATAGAGCTTGTTTCTCTCTGTCAAGGGCTTGACGATCTGTCAAGTTATTTTTAAATTATTATTTAAATAATTATTAATTCAGATATTCCTGATTTGTCGGAAAGTTCGGTGATTTGTGGTTTTATTAGTTTGTCGATCATCATTTTCGTATTAGATACTAAACTTTTTTATTAAAGACCTTTTGACATTTTAAAAATAATAAATATTTATGAACCAAATAAAAAATAGTTTAATCATAAATAAGTAAAGTAAACGCCACGAATGTTTGGGAGTGATTCATCGGTCGCTACCATGTGAACTAATCTGTTCAAGGTCACATAAAACTTAATTCCAGTGCCGTGGAGTTTCAAGTCATATAATAATCAATATATAATCTGTTGTAATTTGTTGTTTTAACTGTCAAAGTCTTGTCAAAACATATATTTGGTTATAAATATAAAATGGAATGCCCCATTGGTCGCACTGCAAGCACACGAACGGACTGACGCACAAAAACGAATCAATCAAAGAAACGCGATATAGTATCGTCTTTGTCAATAACGCTAACATTTTAGAATAAGTAGGAGGAGCGCAGGTAGATGATTAGACCGGGCCTTTAAAAACCTACGTCTGCGGTAAAAATTTACGTTTTTAATGTAAAAATGATAGCGCGCGTGTCGATTCTAACTTCATCAAGCGATGAATCACTCCCAAACATTCGTGGCGTTTTTTTTACATACTATAATTAATAGTTAATTAGTAGCCTATAATATTTTTACGATATTATAATTTATTTGCTAAATCAAAAAATAGACGTTATGTGCTTTATTGTTGGTGTTTAAAATGTATGTATTCATAATTTTATTTTTGTTTTGACTATGTTACACCTCTAATGATCTAATAAACAATAAAAAGTAGTAAAAAAGTCTATATTTATTATTTTATAGTTTACAAGAAAATAATTTTGCGCTTGAATAACGTTATCGTTTTGGTTAGCGTTAATAAGTAACGGAACGCTAAAATTATGTTATGCCAAAACTCTCCATTAGTTTCTTCCGGATCACCAGGTGGCTCTAAATGACGAACCTATTTATTTTATATCAGTATCCCATCTATTTCTAGTACATTACATTAGTACCTTCATTAGTCTCTGATACTAACCTGTCGCTGTCACTGTTGGCAGAGTCAGGCCTAGTGTCTAGAAGGGTATTTAGGGAGCTGGCGATATCTTCGTCCGCTTCTGCATTGGCAGTACTAACAGCGCCACCTAGGTTGTTCTGCATCTGTAGCTGATCTTCGCTACGACTAGTTCTAACGAAGCTATTCGTTGCGTAGGCATCTTGTGGAGAATGCTGCTACAAAAATATCAATTAAATACTTACGTTAGCTTAAAAAAGTACATATAATGATAAAAGCTTCATGTATATAGGTGTATAGACTATAGAGTTACCTGTATAGGTGGGTGATCTTTTCTGGTGGCGCCCACTGGCGACGTGTGCGCCGAATTCGGTCCCGACGATCGGCCGCTTCGGCCTAGTTCGGTTTCGTTCGGACTATTTGGCACTGAGTTGTACTGCGCCGGCTGATGGCGCAGGTGGTGGGCGTGGCTGTTATGGTATCTCGAATGGTCCGCCTGCGCAGACAAGTGAAGGAAAAAATTAATCTCATGTAAATTATGTAATGAGTAAACTCGTAAAAGTATAGAGAGATACAAAAACATTTTATTTTCTATTAAATTATGTAATTTAATAGAGATGTCTACCAGATCACTCTGTAGCGATTTAGGAGATTAAAGCTTTATTCGGAACCTCGCAATTAGTGGTTTCAATTACACTTTATACTTTTTAGTTTACGATCTATCATTTAGGTTACGATCTATCATCCTAGCAACAGCTTGCTTGTCAGTTGTATCCATAGAGAAAGTCTAATATTTAGCTTATAAAACAATTAACTTTTGATTTCTCACTACAATTTCTCTTCACGGATGTTAATCAAAGACCAAAATATAAGTATAATTAGTGGAAAAGTTAAAAGTTTGACAACTTTTTCTAACAATTGAAAATATCTACCACTAATTTTGACGTTCTGAATGCTTACATTGAAATTAAAGGAACAAACTTCTACTCTAATTGAAACCACTAATTACGAGGTTCTGAAGCTTTTCTACTAATTGAAAAACACTACCACTAATTGAAACTACTACTTTATTCCACTAATTGCGAGGTTCTGAATAAAGCTTTAGGGTTAAGAGATTTCAGTTTCCGCCACCACTAACCTTCTTCTGTTGCTTAGGTACTATGCCGCCCGCCTGCGGCATCCTCGATATATTCAGTATGTGCTCTCCCGTCATCATGTAGGCCTCGAACTTGGGCGCGCCGCCACCGCCAAGCCCCGTGGGCGGCGGCACCGCCTGCTCGCCGCCCTGCAGCCGCTCGTGGTGGTGATGGTGGTGCTGCTGTTGCGACTCGGCGAGCAGCGGTTCGTGCTCGGGCGGCAACCGGCCGTTGGGGGCGGCGTGACGCGCGTGGTGCCGATGTGAAGAAGGCTCAGGCCGCGGTCTGTGGCCGCCCCCGGGTGGCGAGCGGTCGCGGACGACGCCGCCGCCTCCCGCCGTCGATTGGAGGTGCTTGCGAACGGTGGACTTGATCTTTGGATCTGTTAATAATAATAATATCTTTATTTACTGTTTTTTACAATTATTGGGGTAAGACCGATAAAAAACTCAACAAAAGTCCTTTCTTTTAAATTTGTCGATGTTTCGCATTATTAGGTAGAGAGTAGAGATGAGCAAAACTGCGATTCTCCAATCGCAATTGATTGCGATTTTTAAATCGCAGCGACTGTAACCTGCGATTGCGATTTTAATATTTACCAAACCAAATTATTGGTAACAAAATGCTTTTTCTAAATATGCCAATGAGCCACACTCGTCCCAAGAACAGTTAACCTAATAGGACTGCTCATTCAGCCTTGTAGTCATTGTAGTCCTTGTCATGGTTATTAGTCCTTATCCAGCAACCAATAATACACACACGTGCATTATTAGTTGCCGAATGCAAAACGTTCATTATTTAGTTTATTTATTTAAACACCTTATATGTATGCAGTATAGAAAATTAACTGTATAAATCGTATTAAATAATCGGATAATGCATTTTTAAGAACAGCAGTTCCCAACATCACCTTTTGCAAGCATTCTTTTTAGAGTACTTCCATATTTTGCTTTAAAATAATTAATAAACAATATCGTACGCACTTAGTAAGCACTTTGTCACAATCCACAACACAAAATAAACGTATTTATACACTCTATAGCTCTAAAAACTTTAAAGACACTTTTTTCACATTTAAAATTGACAAAATAATTAACTCAAAATTTCTCAGCTGTTATTTTTATAAGTTTACCATAGGCAACTAAAAATACACACTATCATGACAAGGACTACAATGACGTCACGACTGTCAGCTGAAACGCGGGAAGAGGCGAACGTACGTCTTATGAGGATGAGCAATCCTATTAGTTCACCGTTCTTGCACTCGTCCCTTTTGAAAAAATTGAGATATGATTAAAAATACGATTTGGGCATCTTTTAACTGGCCAGGAAAAGACGCGAAAGACAATAGACGATCAAATTTATTTTTCCAAGGCATCTTGATTAAAATTAGTGTTTTTAACACAGCCATGACATTCTAGACTGAAATTAAAATACGATTTTTTTAAGCGAAAATATCAAAACTTGCCATATGATATGCCATTCTATTGAGAGTGTCATTTTCTATCGAATAAAGTAAAAAAAATACCGAGGGTCTCATTAAAAATCAAAAGTTGTAGTCATTTCTAGTCATTTACGGTGAAACAGGAAGTGACTAAAAACAAATGAATACGTCAAATCAATCCTAATTTATGTCCTATATTAACGCACCAAATCTCGTTTTTTTATCAGAAAAAAAAATCGGTAAAAAAACTTTTAAGTTAAACGGTTTTATCTTATGTGCACTGAAAACTAGAAAATAATAATAACAATTACGTATTTTAAACTTCTAGTTCAGAAATATTTTAGTACTAGGCAGAATAGCTTTTAGGCATATTAGACTAAAATAAAAATGTGGGGCCCATTAACTATTGCTGTAATACTTTCTTCTATACTAAGTGTGGATTGCATCGACTTACTATAATCGTAACTGGAGATTTTGACAATCAATAACCAGCCGTGGCGGCTTCACCAGCGAACGCCGAGCTCATGATCTACCAAAATATAAAGATATGCTTTGCCATAGGTAGGATTTCAGAGGGGCCCCACGTTTTTATTTTAGTCTAATATGCCTAAAAGCTATTCTGCCTAGTACTAAAATATTTCTGAACTAGAAGTTCAAACTACCTAATTGTTATTATTATTTTCTAGTTTTCAGTGCACATAAGATAAAACCGTTTAACTTAAAAGTTTTTTACCGATTTTTTATTTTCTAGTTTTTAGTATTTAACTGAAATGCCTACCGAATATTCCTCATTCTATTTAATTCATTTAGTGCATCATTATTACATGGTTTTTTACCTGATAATTTATTACAATCTGACGCTCAGGTGTTTCTGACGCTAACAACTCTCTCTGTCTGTCGCGTTCCGATGCTAGCCTAGACTCATGACGCTCAGGTGTTTCTGACGCTAACAACTCTCTTAGTCTCTCTCGTTGTGATGCCAGCCTAGACTCATGACGCTCAGGTGTTTCTGCCGCTAACAACTCTCTCTGTCTGTCACGTTGTGATGCTAGCCTGGACTCATGACGCTCAGGTGTTTCTGACTCTACCAGCTGCCTTTGTCTCTCACGTTGTGCTATTAACCTGGCATCATGTTGCTCAGGTGTTTCTGTTGCTAACCGTTCTCTTCGTTTCTGTAGTCGACTATAGGTTTCATTTTCACTTTCTTTTGCACGTTTCGTTCTATACTTTTCTTTCGCCTTTTCGAGCCTTCTTTTTCGTTGTGTAGCAGTTTCGTTTTCATTTTTGTTTGTTTTTTTATTTATTGTTTCCATGTTGTTCCCACGAGTAATGGATATTTTAACGGTCGACCCCCCCAGAGGTCCAGTAGAGGGGCAAGGCTATAATATACAAGAGGCGCCCAATCTTGAGGGGAAAACGCTTGCGACATTACATTTTTAGCCACCCTAATGCCATACAGTCCTCAGCACGTTTTAACCTATTACCTTAACTTGGGTGGTAAAGCTACCGCTAACTACGTAGGTACATCTAATCACCTATTTTTTTTAACTGTCCTTCTAACGTCACACAATCTTGGACACAACTGTTCTGCACACACGACTACTCATGCCTTCACCTAATACGCCATTTTGTAACGATGTCCATCTTGGATTTTAAATTTTGTCATAATCACAGTATTCTACTAGTGTAGCCCTTTCATTTGATACCCATATTGAGGGGGTTGTGGAAAAATATGAAATCCGCCATTTTGTACCGGCGGCCATCTTAGATTTACAATGTTATTGATATTACTATATTGTATTGTCATTGGAACTAAAGGTGTGTACCAAATTTCAGATCAATCTGACAACAGGAAGGTACTTAAATTTCAATTTCTAATTTTGACCCAAATAAACAAACAAATAAATAAATACCGTACGGGTCGAGCTAAATAAAACCGTTTAAAAATAAAAAATGTTATCGACGCCTATGATCCTTATGATAGGCAGTCATTTTCACGCCGTGCCTGCACCCCGTGACCGCTGATGTTTGCGAGTAGCGGAGTAGTAGGCTTTGGGAAACAGTTGAATGTCGGAGATTGTTGCTTTCGGCATGATTTCGGCCGAGAGAAGACATTGTTGGTCAAGCTAGTTAGAATTACATTTTAAATATCAATTTCTGTTAAATATTTTAATCTTTCGATTACATCAGAAGTGGCGATGAGTTTAATCCAGCGTTCTTAGGCCGTAACGGCGTATTTCTGACTTACTGACGACTATTGACTTGACTTTGACCTTTGACCATATCGTTTCGTAAATGCGTCGGTTTCGAGGATCGATTCGGTGATCGATCGTCTCAGATACGGGTACCCGTCGGCGTCAGATTTCGGATACCGTCGTCGGATCGGCGAAGCGCGAAAAAAAAACCGGAGGGATCATCCTGCTAGCTCTAGTGCTCGAAGATATTAGCGAAAAAAAAATGCAGTGCTGGAAAGAAGCGTCATATTACACCTATAAGTTACAAACGCCAGAAGATAACAGGAAAAGGTAGTGAGCCAACACATTATCTGAACAAATCTCTTCTAAAATGTATTTTAAAAAAAACTGGCTAAAAAAAATCGAGATAAATTCTAAGGTAATTACGAGATAAATTCTAAGGTAGTATTTTTATACAGATGAAAATTGAGTTTCTAATAAAATCTAGCCGTATATAGGTAGATAAATATATATGTTAAAATGATGAAAATTGGAGAAGATCAACACTGTAAATCAAAGACAAAAACAATTTTTATTTCCGCTCGAAACATTCAGTTGCTTATGTAACTATAGGCTGAAAAATATAAAACGAAAACAATTTTTTTACTCCGCTCAAAAACACTGAGTTTTATCTCTAGGCTAGCTGAAAAATATTATTCGATATTATCGAAAAAAAATGTATACTTAGATAAAATAAAGCTGAAGGAATACATACACTGTAATTTATAGAAAAACACATACAGTGTTTTTATAAATTAAACAAAGAAACACTTTCTCATGGATCATAGTATTATCACTAATCTTGTGGTATTATGATTAAACTAATATAAATAAACACATTTTGGATCTAATATTTCAAAAATTCATTTTAAGATGCTGTTTTTAACGTAGTCTTTAAGAAAGTTATTTTATTTTGTACCTATTTATGTAGTTGAATAAAAACATGGTAGTAGAAAAGTTAAATAGGTTCCGAATTTCAGGTTTTGCAAATTCATTTAAGAATTATATCAAAAATTCACATAGTTTATAAGTATTACATTTGTTTTTCAATTATTATAATATAATTTTAACCACCTCATTATATTTCAGAGTTTTTCACTTTAATTCATGTATTTCACTATTTCAAGAACTTTATTCTTCGTATACGCCATATTTAATAGCAAATAACCCTTCGATTAGTGTTGTAATATATTGACACATTGTGAATGTTAAAATAGTTGTGTAAAATTGTTAGAAGATGAGAACGATGCGTTTATTAAAATATACAGGGCTACTTTTTAATAAAAGTGTAATTTCTTGTAATTAGAAATAAATGTAAATGTCCAGATGGGTAATCTAGGCGCAAGAGTACTATTGTATAGTAATTTTCACAACACGCTTTAGATATCTTGCAAACAAACTACTAAAGGACGACATAAAATAAATATAGTGGGAAATAACAGATTGTTTCAGTAAAAACATGTTTAAATAGTTTTTAACAAAAATGTCTAATAGTTAATATACAACTAGCAAATCCGATTATCTTAATCTTATATTAAATGCATACACTTTTCATATTATGCGTAAACAAAAATAAATAAAGCGGTACTATATTATTTTAATTTAAAATACATAAACTAAGCTACCTAGGTATGTACTTAAATCTTTATGCGACGTTAATATATGAGTTTTACAACCCCGAATAAAGAAATCATTTAGGGATAC